TGATTCTTGTTTGACTGTGTTGGGTGTCTTTTATGTAAGAGATTTTTCTGTAAATCAATCTAAACTTTGTCTTTGGGAAAGTTCTACATGATTGACAAAGGGTGCCCCCTGATTATGATATATTTGAGGATTTTAGAAAGGTCTTGATTTGGCTTAAAGCCGAGTCATTCTGACAGAGATGAAAGATAACATATTTCAATCTTGTAATAGCGAGTAGAGAAAAATATGTTTTTGTTAAATTAATATTCATATACTTGAAGGATATTATGACCTATGTTTTTGCCTACAGCTCTAGAAGACCTGATTCAAGCCGAGCATGGAGTTAGATCAAAGACAGTAAACTTAAGCATCAAAAGAAACAAAACTGGAACCGAAAAGAAAATATTTGCATTAAAACAATGTTAATAAGAGTGGTAGAAAAGGTATTTGACCAAAAGGCTCAGAAAAGTGCCATTCTCTCTTCTCTGCATGTGATTTGTACGTGTTCTGTGAGATAACTCGACAACTCAACACAGAAACCTCTACAGTCTGTTCTACAGTACTGGACAGAGCGGGAGCTAGCAGCAGCTACAAGGTGACAAAGCTAACTACAGCCCAAACATACAGGAGACATTCAGAGGTCACTGACAACTTGTACTGGAGCAATTTCTACATTTAGCTGTAGAACAATATGTATGTGTTTATGAATTTCCTCTGAATGTTTCCTGTTTATCGAGGCATTCAAGGGATTTTAGGCTCTACTTCACGTCTGATAACACCAAGAAAACATACAATCCTCCACAGGAGTAAAGAACAGTGAGCCTGCAAGTATTGGCTGTCACCAACCCACAGTCATCTTTTTTATTTGTTAAACGAGGCTTTGGTCAAATATATGTAACGCAATGACCCTGGTTTCTTTTTGGAAAGAACATAAGATCATGTGAAAACCACAAGAATATACTTTTTTAAATGTAAAAACACTTGGCATCTATTCTTAAGCGTTACATTTTTTTCATTGTATTGTATCTTAAATTATTGACTGTTTTTACATTTTGTAGAAACAACTAATTATTGTGGTGTTTATAGTACCTATTAAGTTTGTTTTTCATCCTTTCTTTATTGACTCTTCTGGCTACTGATTTTTTAGGGCATTTCAGAATCATGAAGAGTTTGTCTCAAATGTATTACATTGAATTGTATCATTGCATTTTATACAGCTCTTTGGTTGTTTTAAGTCTTTCAAATGACTATTAGAAAAACATTTTGGGGCCTACGTCTCATCGTGTTTGTCCGTCATACCTAAAAGACTTGTGTTAATCTCAATAAAGCTTTACTGGATAATAGAAATAACTGATATTCTGGATTTCACGTCTATCCGTGTGTTTGTATACCCTTGTGCTGTATGTTTTGGTATTAGCAGTGACTTTAGTGATACAAATATCTTTGGCAAAAATGTGACTGATATTAAGTAGATAGTGTCTTTGTTCATTATCACATTAGAACCTGTTGGATCGGTGATTCCTTTGATTTATTATCTTATCATTAAACAAACAGTTCTTGAAACCATTGTGTTTGAATAGAACTATTATAACACATTTAAGTACAATATAAATCGAATTGTGTCGTTTTTTTAGGGTCTTTACTTCCCACTTTAGTCTAAGCAGTGTTGACAGTGGGTCCCCAAAGATGCTGATATTGGCAGTCAAGATTCATTTACTCCTGTGGAACCAAGTTTCATGAAAGCAAAGAGAGCAACCCAAATGAAAACTCTTTTCTTTTTGTGAGTGCAGCGACCTCTACAGGAGCTCAGGATGTCTGATCCTGCTGTCAGGATCTGTTTCAGACTTTCTGGGCTCCTGTAGACATTAAATGCACCGTCCTGCATCTACGGGCTTCACAGCAATGTGCAGGGATGCACTAGCGTTGTCTGTTCTCGTACCTCCTACCGTAAGGATTCTCAGTCTCTCCTTGAACACAGCCACGTCTGGAAGGGTCACCAGCAGGGGGCAGCAAAGGGAGAAACACCCGGACACCGTTAGGGACCTACGACCCGCTCATAAACCTATGGCCATTTTACGCCACCTTCACAACCGTCTACAGCAGGGGTCTCCAACCTTTTTTAGGATGAGAGCTACTTTCAAAAAACAAAATAAGTCGTGAGCTTGAGGGTGGACCTCATCTCCTCTAGGGGGGTCCGGGGGCATGCAACCCTGGGAAGATTTATTTTTAAATGTTGAAGTGAAATGCATCAATCTGGTGCACTTTGAGCACACAATGAATGTATGGATACAGCTCTCAACACTCAGATGAAAGGGAGCTGTATACTTTTCAATAATCTAAACATCTTTAGAATATGATCACAACCAATAACAAATCATTTAAACTGGTTTATTCTTATCTTATGTTACCTAGTTAGCATTCTTTCTTTATGCATATTTTACTAATCACTCTTTTTTTTACTGTCCTATAGTACACATTGGAATGATTAAACTATATTAAATAGATAAAGGTGTGCTCTCGCCATCTCTCTCTCTTGCTCACAGAGGCTGTGTGCTCCTCCGTGGAGATGACGGCTTGCGTTAAAAAATAATAATAAAAATGTGTAAAGTGGGGGGGGACACAAACGGGATTTCGAAAAGTGTGGGGGGGGGACTTGTCCCCCCTGTCCTCAGTGGAAATGACGCCATGCGTGTGTGTGCGTCAAGCGCAATAAATATATAAGCAAGTTGCAACACACACACAGTAAAACTCTGCCCCCAATGTGTTTTATAGGCTGGCACGACTAGGCTGTTCAATGGGGCCGATGTGTTGTGTAGATTCTGCCAGAAGGAAAGGTCACACTCCTTATGAAGTGTGCGGTGTGGTGCCGCTCCACATTGCTTTTCTTCCCGACTGCAACGCTGGTCCCGCAAATCAAGCAAGAACGTGATTGGTCGATATTCATTGTGGGGGGAGGAGGGGTGTTAGATAGATGTAGAGTTGTAGTAAGTAGATAGAGTTCGTTATGATTGAGGTTTCGTTTATGCATAGGGTCGATTCTTTTAATTACATTTCTTCTTTTTTTTGTGTGTATTTTTTACATTTGGGATTTGCTTGGCGAGCTACTTATTGAGGGCTTGCGAGCTACCGGTAGCTCGCGATCGACGTGTTGGAGACCCCTGGTCTACAGCTAGAACTGAGCACAGCACCGGCCCTGGCATCTCAGCGTCTCCACAACCTTTTTATTCGTTAAGAGAGAGTCCACAGGTTTGGTTTTAGAGTGAAGTGGTAGAGAACAATGGATGCGGTCAACACCATGCTGCGATACAGAAGCCACACCACAACCATCCGAACCACCCAGGGGGGTCCCAAAACAGAAAGCCATTCAGGTCACAGCAGGGACTCAGCTTATTCCTGAACACGACACTGAAGTCCTCTGTTTTCACAAAAACAAATGTAAATACACAAACCTAGGCAAGCCTCGTAAGGCAAGTGTGAGAACAAAGAATGTGGTGATCTCTTTTCCTAATATGATCTAAATAGAGTGGTGCAGGAATCCATCCTAAAACCCGGAAGGTTCCCTTGTATTAAAGACGTTTTATTAAGTGTTTTTAATAAAAGATCTGTGGACATAAAATACTTCAGTAAATATGCCACTTGTGAATGTCTGAAGATTCTATGTGTTACAAAAACAATGGTTGCTAACAACATTACATATTAGCATCATCGCCCTGAAAATGAGGCACATTTAACTTAGTGGTGGTGACGTGAAGTCATGGCACGTGATGTAGTTCATTTATAGGTTAAGTATAGGGAGTCGCCACGCAAGAAGATTATGATTGGCTTGTGATTGTGATCTTACCCTGCTGTTAGTTAGTAGTTAGCTTTTATTAAATATATAACAGATGACAGTAAATGTACATTGTATGAACCCAGTACAGCGACCTGCCAACAAAACAAGCTGCAGGAATCAGGCAAGCTATAACAGCTGAGACCTAAGTCATGTCAAAGCAGAAGACAAACAATGAAAAGCATGTCTCAACTAGCAGCAGCAGGCCATCAGCTCAGCTGCACAAAGCTAACAGCTCAACCGCAGATAAATCCTTAGAGCCCAAAGGATGTCAAACTGCATCTCATAACTCTGCATGTCTCCACTCAAGGTCTGCTCTGGAGCTGAGAACCACACCACCCGAACTTCCTCAGCAAAAGGAGTTTGGATGCTTAAATATGCTTTGTCCACGTTGGCTTATTATTGACTCTAAAAAACCTGTGGATGTCCCTTAACATGTGTATAAGGATTACTTCCACAACACTTGAGGACAAAATCTATTTCTGCCAAAGTGAATCCAATTAAGATCTTTGCTGACAGTCCTCCCAAACAACGTGACCCAGGTTTAAAAGGCCTTTTGGGGAAGGCTAGGCCCTTTAAGGGGACTGTTTCACATCAGTAAGGTTGAAAAACAAGAACGTTTCAGAAAAATGTAATTTATACATTTGAATGAACAGACTATCCAATGCTAATGGAGATCCCAATGAAGACAAAGACAACAACAGTTTTTGGTTTGAAATGTTCTTGAGACATTTGTTGTATACAAGGGAGTTTTAGAAACTTTTATCTAAAGACTGTTTATAGTTTATGAAAACATAACGCAAATAATCCCACTAACAAAACATGATTAGAGTAGGTTTTAGGAACATTGGTTGTGAACGAGAACGTTCCAGGAACACTCAAGTGATGAAGAAGGTTTTAGGTTTCAGTAAGAGTCTCTAAACATATATCGTACACAAGAATGTTCAAGAAGTGTCTAGTTCAGGATAAAGTTTCAGAAGCATCATTGTACACAAGAAGGTTCAAGAAGTTCTCCTGGTGTACAATAACATTTCAGTTTTAGAGGGAAAGTTGTTTCTCTAAACTCGTCAGTTCAGAGAAAACAAGGCAACGAGGCAGGCCAGGAGACGACAACGGGTGGGGGGGGGGAGGGGGAGGGGGAGGGGGATATATAGAGACGTTGGGCTTGAGTTCTAAGGGTTCAGCTTCTCACCCAGCTTGTCGGAGGAGGTGATAATGTCATTGGGGACACACGAGTCCAGATCGGTGTCCATGATGCCGAGGGGGTCCAACTGGGCCACATGGTGCCCTCGGATCTACAGGGAGTGACAACAGCACAGAGCCCCCCAAGGACAGCAGGAGTGGGAGGAGGAGGAGGAGGAGGAGGACAGGACGGAACGTAAGGAAGGAGAGGGTGAAGAAAAAAGGAGGAGGACGACGATACGAGATGCAAAAAAAGCAAATCCCGCAAGAGATGAGGATGAGTGGAAGAAAGGAAAGATATAGAGAAGGAGGAGCGCCAGAATAGAAACATTGATACCAGATCGGACACAAAAACAAGGAAAGAAGGACAAAGTTTGAAGACAGAAGGGTTAGAAGAGGAAGGAGGGAAATAGAAGGGGGGAGGGGTGGGAAGAGCATCATTAACACAACAAGCAGGAAGTAGTTTGTCTGTTCTCTCAGTGCCGGCGTTCTCACCAACGTCCTGGAAGCCGGTATTCACCGGAGCATCATCAAAATTCACACAGCTGATTTCCAGAGGATCCAAACGGGCATTGTGATGCCCCATCACCTGCACATACACACACCTGGTTATCACAACACACACACCGCTGACAGGGAGGCCTGGTTCCTGGAGGTCTTCACAGGTACAGATAAACTGAGTCTGGGTGTTTCTTTGTTTGTTTCACCATTATTTCATTTCAATACGTTTTGATTGAGATTGCATAATAAGGCAAGTACAAATGGAAATTCAGCAGGATAATAACTGTGCTTTCGTTGTTTACAACGAGACAAGATGGAACTGATTGAAGTAATCCTCCTAACGCAAGTATTATTTTGTTTTTATTCTATTTTTTCTCATTTCCACTTCATAGCAAGACCCAACTACCTGCAACCAAAAACAATTGTCAACTTTTGTTTAAATGACACACAACAGTTGTAGATGTTGACAAAGATTTTAGAAATTAAGTTGTGGGCGAAACATCTGACATGGTGTGAAAAAGATAGCATTAGCTAAGTAAGAGATGTCAGATTAGGACTCCTCAGTCATCCATTAAAGCAGAATGAGGGGAATGTTGGCTTCGGGGTCCAAAACATGGTCAAGAGGCAAGTGACAACTCTGGTTCTGATAGTTTTTAAATCAGACAAACCTTTCAATAATGAAGAAGAGTTGGATTCTTCTAGCAAGATACCAAATATGTTACCAGACTAAATACATTCATCTTGACTTTAAAGTCAAAGGGCCAGAGGGACAGAAAAGGCGAGGTTCCTCTTTCATTGTTACATCGTTGGCATGTGCAGTGGGAAGTGGTACTTGGAATGCTAGGTTTGGTACATAGTAATACATGGCTTAAAAGGTTTGGGACCCTCCGTTATATCCTTCTGACACCAGTCGCCTTTAGGGAAAGTGCTCGTCCACTGCTCGTCCACTGCTCCTACAGTGTACTGTCTAAAACACCTTTACTGGCTGTTGGTACTCGCTGGCTGGATTTGCTGCAAAAGGTGAGCTATCCCCAACCTTTAGGGATGCACGATAATTATCGGTCCGATATTAGGAATTATGACGTCATCCCGATAAACCCGATACCAGTATTAATAGCCCCGATAATATACAATATATTTTTTGGGTAAAAAAAAAAGAAAAAAATACTGCGGTGGATTGGGATGAGGGGCGCTTGTTTTTCACTCGGCTCCTCCCGTTTTGCCAGTACTGTGGTATTAGTGGTTTAGGTTTAAATCCAGCGCTCCCTAACTCGTGCCTGGCTGTGACGTAAATGGTGTGCGGCCGTGAAGCCAGGACAGTAAACAAACATGTCGTCGGTGGTATGGGCGTTGGAGCTATGTGCAACTCAAGGCATATGCTCGAACCGGAGCTGCCTGGACGCTGCAATCATGTTGCGCACTATCCGTGCTGAGTGTGCTGACTTTTTGTACAATGTCCCACTGTCTGGCTTCCTGCATAAAGTCAAGTGCTCGGCGCAGTTGTGGCGAAATGTCGCTCCTCTGTTTTCATTTAAACAGCTCCTTAGATCCGTTAGCGCAGCTAGCTAGCACCAGATGCTAACAACAACAATGCACGTAAGGTCTCTCTCTCGCTCGCTCGGGCCACACATACACACACCCTCCCGGTCCTCCCAACAGCCAATCGGTGCCTGCCGGTGAGCGTGGAAGTGTGGTCTGCCACAAGCGGGCGGCAGGAGCGGGGCTGTCAGCATCAGCTTGTAGATGGTATTTTAAACTCGATGCGCTCTGAAACTACGGGGCGGCCGAGGACAAAAAATACACATGCGTTAATCGCGTTAAAATAATTAGTGGCGTAAACATTTTTTTATTATCGGTTATCGGTATCGGTCTTGAGAAGCAGGAAGTTATCGGTATCGGTTTCAAAAACCCAATATCGTGCATCCCTCTTATTTTTTATAATGAATAAGATTTACCAAAGTTGCCAGTGGGTAGAATATTACTACCTCCAGCAAAAGGATGACACCTATGTGTCTATGATCTTTAAAAAAAAAAAACTAAGAGACATGTGACCTTATGCACCCTTTTTCTTACGCTGTATCAGACACATAAACACTGATAATTGTTTACATTATGAGAGGATCATTTCAAATCAGAGTTGATCAGTTTAATCTGACCTGAGGCTGTGCTTTTAGCTGCAGCTCAGAGGCCTGTACTACGAAGCCGGTTCAACCTAACCTGGATATGTTTGAGTTAGCCGGTTTGCCTAATCCAAAACATACACGCTCTCGCTAAGCGGTCCTACGGCGCTGGTTATCAAGTGGATCTCTCAAGTCAGCTTTGCCCTATCTAGTTAGGTGCGCGTTCAGATGAACGGGGCGGGGTTAGCAACATTCGACCAATCACAAACATGGAGAAGCACACTGACAGCGCAGCGTCATACTTCCTGAATGAAAAGTCAACTTTAATATTAGACACATATGAAGACGTTAAACTTTAAACATCCATGACTTAAACACTTTATCCAGGATCAAAGCCACAGAGCTGCACCTGCAAGGTGAATACAGCTGGTAACAGAACAAGTGTTTGAATGCGTACATTAACAGGTTTATGATATCACTGCCCCGTCTAAGACACGATCTGACTTTAATTACATTTGACTCGAGTGTTTCGTCAACTTAATGTGTTGCTTAAAATAATTATATTCTATTAATTTTCACGTTCACACAGTCGGTGATTTTTGCCGGCCGTCTTTCCTGCAACGGCAGTTTTCTTGTATTTCCTTTCTCCTGTAATATGACTTGATAGCTTTAAACTCCGCACACTGAGCTCTGATTGGTCAGCAGGCAGTGCTTTCACTGAGTTGATCTCTTAGCCTGCAACCTAACCTGCTCCGGAGCAGGCTAGCCGTTCTGCCTAAGTTACCATGGAGATCTAGCCTGCTAAAAAGAGAACCAGCGTCGTAGGACCGGAAACCCCAAGCTTTCCCTGAAGTTAGCCGGCTAAGCGAAAATCCTGCTTCGTAGTGCAGGCCTCAGGTCAGTCTAATTTGCTCAGTTCCTGTTCAGATCTGCTTTCTTTATCAAGATGTGTTAATACTAAATCTGTTCTAGTGAGTTTTTAAGTGGACAGTTTAGGACCTGTGAAGACCTCCCACTGACTAGCGGACTTCGTTATCAAGGTTTCCACAGGTTTTTGTACCAGCCAATAACAACTAAAGATGAAGATGGAAGCTCTGCATTTATCACATACAGACATGTATGCCTCAATTGCAAAACATATTCATTTTGAAAAGATGTTTTCTTAATTTTTAAGTAAAAATGTAAAATAAATGTATCTTAGAAAACCCTTTTTGTTTTCAGTTTATACTTAAGATACGACATCAAACATATCCAGAGAGTTTAATCAATAACTTACAGACACTAACATTCTATGTAGGTATGATGTAAACATAATGTTCAATGTAAATGAATGATTATTCAACACCTATTAATAATCATTACATTTAAAGATCACTGGACATGTTGAAAAAGAACAAAGAGAGCATGTAGGCACAGTTTCAGCGTTCAGTTTGCTCCCCTGAGCTCCATGACGTTCTGGGGGGTCAAAAGTTAAATATCACAACAAATAATCAATGTCCTACAAATATCACTAGAAAATAAATATATTTTGAAAATATTTGATTGAATTAAAAGCTCAAACTCGAAATGAAAGTACTACATCAATGGTTCTATATGGCTTCTAAGTTGGAACCGGCTTTCTTGATGTATTATGATTAAAGGGCTTTAACAATAAAAGACACCGGCATGGTCCTTCAATGGGCCTCTTTTAATAAAGGCCAGTTTACCATAAATCCTAGACAATAAAAACAACCAATCTTAAATGTTGAGTATTCAAACCCCTTTTGCTCAGGAAAAAAAAATGATAGTTAAAATAATAATACAAATAAAAACAACAAATCATTGAATAAATGTCCATAAATCCATTTACAAATCAGAATAGACGATGCAGAACTTGGTTGGTGATTCTGAGGAAAAACTCTAACAAAAGTTGTTTGTACATTTATGAGGAACATCATTGCTTCACTTCAACTTAACCTCATAAACCACAGACAGATTTAGCAATGACAATATGTTGGGGGTTTGAGCCCAGGATAACCATATCATCATAAGCATCCACACTTAGAAGAGACATTGCCTTGAATTCAGAAGAAAGTGTTTGTTAGTGTACCTGGTAGGCCCTGATGAGGGACTGGACCGCCAGGTGATCCTCAACCAGCTTCTCCACGTTGGGCTGCGCTCCAACCAGAGAGGAGAGCTGAGGAGCTGCAGACAGACCCAGAGGAGACTGGTAGGCTGCACCGGGGGGGGCGCCGGCGTTAGCATTCCTGAAGAAAACATCCCATGACTGCAGAAGAAAGAAGAAAAGATATGTTTTGATACAATGATGAAAGAAGAACAGTTGATGTTGTAGGAAGACAGGGGAAAATAACAACACAAATAAACAAATATCCTTCCATGATTAAAAGGGAGCGGCTATCCAAGCCACACCTGAGAGCTGGAGGAAGGTCGTCAACACAATATATCACACTTGTGTGCTGTGGAAAACTGCAGACATGGCTACTGTAAGCACACCTATACTCTGCGCCGTGCGCTATTATGGTGTTGTTTTCAGGGTTCTTACACCTTTTCCAAAGTCAAATTCAAGCACTTTTCAAGCATTTTCAAGGTGCATTTTCCAGCTTTTCAAGCATCTTACAGCTGTTGTAAATTACACATACTCAAATGATTATTTCCCTACCTCACATTAAATCAGATGTTCTTTATGCTATAAACAAACAAATGTGTGTTTCGTGATAGCCTTCTACACGAGGATGACAAATGAAAGAAAAGAAAACTAAGTTTAATATTTCAAAATGAGTGACCCATCTGTACGTCCCATATAACCTGTCTGAGCCGATATAAAACAATCAGCCAAATAACTTTTCAATACATTATTGATTACTATTTTTGAGGTACTTTTAGGTTGGCAGTAAACACAGTTCAGAGGCACATGGTGCAGGGTTTCCGCTAGGATTTTTTCTCGCCGGTCAAATGTCCGGGCAGAATTTATTTTACCGGATACATTTGAAACTTACCGGTCATATTTCAATAATAATAATAAGAGTTGTGTAGCAGAGTTTCCGTTAGCAGGTCATTACCGGACTATGAGCAGATATGCTGATGTTTAAAACTCAGTTCACGGGGCTCATTTTTATATTGCTTCAGTTTATAATCGTAACAGATCGAAAAATTCAGATTCATTTTTCAATAAATGATACAACATCATTATTACATTCAAACAAACTACTTGTAGTAGATGAAGTACATTATTCAAAAGTTTACATTAACTTTGAATAATCACACGGGAGAAACGGATGCTCTCTTTTCCTCTCTCCCTCTCTCTCTCTCCTGACAGCCCGTCAGTTTCTCAAGCAGCTCCTGCAGCTCGCTAAACAGTGGGCGGGGCTTCAGGTGATTATGCAGAGCTGCGTGTCTCTGTCAGACTCAGCAGCTGATCTGATCTCTCTCTCGTGTCCGGTTATACTTCACTCGCGTTTATGTCCATATCGATCAGATCCAGCTCTCCTGATCGTTCTTTATAGAGAGCACCGATCAAACTATTAAGAGTGAATATCGGCCGATAATGACCGGTGGCCGATCTATCGGAGCATCCCTAATTATTACCAGACATTTTGACCGGCAGGTTTTGAATTTACCGGTTTTTAATAAATGTTACCAGCTAAAAACCGGTAATTACCGGCTAACGGAAACCCTGACATGGTGTACTTCTACTCCTCTACAGTTCAGAGGTACATGGTGTACTTCTACTCCTCTACAGTTCAGAGATACATGGTGTACTTCTACTCCTCTACAGTTCAGAGATACATGGTGTACTTCTACTCCTCTACAGTTCAGAGATACATGGTGTACTTCTACTCCTCTACAGTTCAGAGGTACATGGTGTACTTCTACTCCTCTACAGTTCAGAGGTACATGGTGTACTTTTACTCCACTACATGTACTTTACAGATCTGGATGAATGAAGTGAAATATAATCAAGTGTTAAATCAGACTTTAGTTCCACCTGGAGTAAATCCACAAGCTACCCTGCAGTATACAAAGTCATTCAAACTAGCTGCACCCTTTACCAGCTTTGAGAACACTTTCATGATCAATCATTATAAAACACATCATATATATTATTCTGAAATGGACCAATCTGCACAATGACTACTTTTACTGTCGCTACTTTCACTATATTTTGATGAGAATACTTTTCTACTTTGACTTGAGGAATGCAGGACTTTTACTGTGACAGAGTATTCCTACACTCTGGTACTTCTACTTTTGCTAAGTACAAGATCTGAGTACTTATAATTTCACTACAAGATCTGAGTACTTGTACTTTTACTCAAGTACAAGATCTGAGTACTTATTCTACCTCTGGTAGAGTATTAGCCTGAATTGTAGCCACAAAATCACGCAGAGCTGCATAAAAATAGACTCACAATGGAAACAAGTGGAAAATAATATTTACAAATGTGTACAATGATTTGTAGGTAATTTTGACATCAAGACACCTGACTTATACATCTTCAAAGGAAGACTGTGTTCATTCTACAATTACATGGGATTAAAGCGAAATGTAGTTTTACTTGTATAATACTTCAATTTTATATAAAAGACAGTTTGTTTTCATCTGTTTTCAAATAAACAAAGTCTTGGCTTTCAGAATATATTTAACTTGTTTCGGCAAATTCAGATGATAAATACAACTTTGAAGCTTCGGCATAATTACAAGCAGAGAACGGAGTAATGTAACATCACAGCAAGCATAACAACAGCCGGTGTTTCTTGTGAGAGTTTCCCCGGTACACAAACACACACACACACACACACACACACGCGACCTTCCCCCAGACCAGTAATACAAACGAAAATGTGTCTTCGGGTCAATGTGACTGATTTCGATAGAGCAAGTCACATTTGGTTTAGGCACGAAACATACTACCAGTAGAAATACATTGCTTTCAAAATCGCTCTGTGTCGAATCAATAGATTATATTTCATGTGGCTCGTCAGCGCAGACTCTCGCATCGTTATTTGTTGCAAACTTTGCAGGAGGCTACTCGTGGGCTTGACCCTCGTCTTAGCCATGGCTTGTATTTGTCTTCTGCTAGCCAACGCTCGTTGAAACTGCAACCGCCTGGCACACAGTGATCTATCACTCTCATCAGAATGCCCAGGTCACACGTAACACAAACACTTGCAGGTCGCGCACATAGCGCGGGAAGGTGCAGCGGAGCTGTTTTATGTAGAAGCAAAGCAATTATTTTCTTTTAATCTAAAAAGCGAACTATTCAGTCAGACAGCAATTTATTGTAAAAGTAAAGCATTTACATTTTCAAGCACTTTATCTCAATTTCAAGCACCATTCCCAAAATTCAAGCACTTTCCCAACCTTAAAAACACCAGTTCAAATTTCAAGCATTTTCAAGGATTTCAAGCACCCATACGAACCCTGTGTTTTATGCGGGGGGAAAAGTAAAAAATATACTCTTCATTGCCAAGGTTGGAGTTGAAATAAAAAAGTATAGTGAAACTTTTTGTTGTCACCCTCCCCAACATTGTGTATATCACCAATCTAACTTGTTTTAAAAGGTTTAAGAAACCCCAATGTTCTCCTTTCCTTTCATAAAAAAAAATTAGATCTTTCTAGAGGGTTATCAAGAATAACTTTTATCCAATGACCTTTTCCCTCTCTGTCTGTGTCTGTGTATTCTCTTGTTCCGATTAACCCAGCCAAATCTTTTTTCTTGTTTTGTATCTATATCTACGCCGGGATCCGGAGTCGAGGCTGATCCTCTTGCTGTAGTCCTGTGTCTTGGATCCTCTATCCTGAGTTCTGGATTAAGTCGTGGACTTCGGGTCGTGGCTGAACCTGTCTCTGCGGTCCTGCCTTGGGTTTCGTCATGCTGCTTCCCTGATGGCTTCCACAGGATTGTAGCTGACATCCTCGTGGATTCATCTTCTTATTACAGACTAGGGGTGTTGAAAATAATCGTTTCTACGATGCATTGCGATGCGGACGATTCGGTATCGATGCAGTGACGGAAGATAATCGATTATAGCGTAGTAGGCCTAACGTTGCTTCCTGATTTTCCGGCCGCGGCTTTACTATAACGTTTTTTTTCCTGTCACTTTAATATCAAATCGGTCGGTGACGCAGAGATCAGGGAACAGACGAGACAGCAGCACAGCAACACCAAACACGGAGCAGTCTGCTTATCCACCAACACAAGAACACCAGTCCAGAACCAACAGCAGAAGGACCCGCTCTGAATCACTCCGTGTCGCTGCGGCTCAGAGACACAGGGATTTATGTTTTTCAAAAATAATCGCGTTACAATCATGTCAGGTTTTTGGTGGATTTAATTAAGTCTTGGATTGCAGAGTATGAATGCCCTCTAGCAATTTTCAGACGATATATACGTGTATAAAGTTTGTGAAGGCAGGAGGAAAAAAGCTTCCGCGATCACCGTCTCCTCTCCTCCAAACCCCGCCCCCCTCCCTGAAAATAATGAGTGACAGGCTGACAGTGACCCGATAGAAAATGTATTATTCACTTAATCACTGAGATATAATAAAGCTAACTTAATCTCATACATTCATGGGATTTATGCAACAGTAAGACAGAGAATGTAAGTGTGCACCCACATGCAGTATTTTAGTTGTTATATGCTATTGTAAATACTCCTGTTGTCTGCTGTGTTCAGACTCAAGTCCTGTGTGTGATGCCACATTCAGTGTCCTTTTTTTAACAGAAGACCGTTGCTAGAAGCTGCAGCTAGACTGCAGAAGCATTATTTTTTTGTTTTTGAGGATGGAACAATTTCACACACTATACAATTCCTTATTTTGGTTTATAAATGAATGTCAAGACATTTATGTTATTGATTTCTGAAGCACTTTCTAAATAATAAAAAGAGAGTTCATATGTATTTATTGCATGTATGCATTGACGAAAAATAAGCCATGTGCAGTAATATAGAAAATTGAGGATGCAACGCATTGGTATGAATCATGATGCATCGGGATATCGAATTGAATCGAAGAGACCGTACCTACAGGTTGACTTGGAGAGGATCTGAGTCCGACCCTTGTCAATTAACTACGGGGGTCCCTCAGGGCTCTGTTCTTGGTCCCCTCCTCTTCTCCCTGTACACAAACTCGCTCGGATCAGTCATTAGCCCGCATGGTTTTTCATACCACTGCTACGCTGATGACACCCAATTAATTCTGTCCTTTCCCCGCTCAGAGACCCAGGTCGTTGCACGCATCTCTGCTTGTCTAGCTGAGATCTCT